TTACAGTACATTAAACACAGATATTACAAATTTAATATTTTTAGTTTTTTTAAATTTAATGATTTTTGTACTTTCTTATTTTATTAACATTTTTGATAATAATTTTTTCTTTTTCATTATTATTATTATTAATCATTAATTCATCATTATTATTAATTAATACGATGTTAATATTAAATAAATAAAGTTAATATTATATAAAGGAATTTTAATGATATTTTCTTTTCACTTTCTTTGATCGTTCTTGTTGGAATTTTTTGATCGTTCGTATATATTTCCGATCTTTTAATTATAACTAAATATAATTTTTTTATATTCTTGCATATATTTTTATTTTATTTTTTTTATTTTTTGTTTAATTTAATTTTTAAATGTTTGAATTATAATTTTTTTATAAGAATATATTTATCGTTGTTTAAAAAAGAAACATGATTCAGGACATTGAAAAAAATTAGAAAAAGAATTGATTCAATATAAATCAAACCATTTAGAGTATTATGAATGTAAAATTTTGCTCAGAGAAATGAAGATGACGTTCGAAGATGTTAGTAGATAATTTTGAAAGGAAATATAAAAATATATAAAAATAAACGAAGTAAAAGAAAAGAGCAAAATTTATTAAAGAAGGTATTGAAATTAAATAATCAAAATTGAAACTTAGACGAAATGGTGGAAATATATATAATTCACTGTTAAAAAAAATCCTCGCGAGACGAAATAGGACCAAAAGATATTCTTTGCAAGGATTAACTATCTTTCAGATGTTTTGTTGATGCCACATCCTTGGTACTACACGTTACTAATAGTAAAAGAATTGCCATAATTTGAATGTTTAAAATGGTGAGAATTATTTTCTATTTATGAATTTCTCGTTAGGATAATCATCTAAGACTGAAAGCTAAAATAATTTCGAAACTATAAATTAACGATATAATAATAAAATACCTATAATATATCCAGATTATTCGTATATATATGATTATTATCTTAATTACTCAAATACAAAAAAATTAAACTATTGTTAAAATTAGTCTATATATTATGAGATATTATAAAAAAAATATAACAAATATTTAAAAAAAATTTTTTTATATTAAATGGATACATTAGAATATTCTGAATTCTATGCCTACAGTGATATATCGATGTTAGATTGTTGCTTTATAGTTCCTGTTATAATTGGATTAATATAATTAATATACGTTAGGAACAAAAGAACATGTAAAAATAAACATTTATTTCCACATTAACTAATCAAACCGTTCTTTCCACGAAACTTTTATTTTGAATGTACATATAAGTATCATTTTAATATTATTATTTTTAATTTTTAAAAAATCATTTAAAATTCATATAGTAATATTTAATTATATCAATTTTCAAGATAGGGGAAAAAGAATTTTAATTTTTTTTTTTTAAATTCTGAATTAATGTTTATAATTAATGTTACATTGTTAGCTTCAATCCGTT